TAAGGCTGGGTCTACATTGGATGTCGTAAGTCGAATAATGAACTGTGATTGGTCAATTCCTTCCGACACGACTTACGACATCCAAATGTAGACCCAGCCTTACTGACTTTACTGGCGTGCGAAAAACGCAGCACCAGTAATTTTCATTGCTACCAACTATACTGTTTTCACTGGCAGTAACTAAATCCATTTTCGAACACATCCACCGTCGAATTGACGTCGATCGACGAATCATTTCTCACTGGGTAGTCTATTAACTTATTCCGGAATCAGTAAAGATTGTCCAATCATCGTTAAAAGTGAAGAGAATAATTGACTACAAGATTAGTGTTTACCGATTCCGGCATAAGTTAACGCTTACGGCCTTGCATAATTAGTCTTACGAGCCAATTGTTTTCTTTCTATCCATTTTGATGAAATGATGAATTATTTGGAAGATTAGTTGGCAAATTAATTCAATCGGTAAACCCATAAAGCTTTTAGAAACATTTCAGAAAACATTGTTGCAATGTTGCAATGTTTCTGAAAACTTCGGTGCTGTATGGGAACTTTTACATCAAGATTAATTTTAATCTCAGTTTACTTATTTTTTACCTCTTCGCTTAGTCTTGAGAATTAAAAGAAGGTGAAGTAAGTTTAAGCGGTATAAAAAGTAAGTTAACATGAGATTAAAATTAATCTGCAGTGATAAAATTATGCACACAGGTTCACCAGAGTTTGATCAACATTGCCCGAAAACTTGTACATAAACAAAAAAGAAAAAGACTACTAAGCGTATACGTTATTTGTAAAGCGGAATTTACGTAAAGATGACATTGAAATACTGGACGCGCGAAAGGGAATATTTGATTTTTGCTGAGAACAAAGGGAATAATTCCATTGGTACCGTCGGTTTTTTAGTTATCATTATTTCCGGGCTGATTAAAAGCTTTTCTTATCTCTTCTTACGCGACAATTTATTCCAGGCACCCGTCGCTTTCCATAATTGCACCCGCATGAGTCTCCCCCCACGTGTCGCAAGCGAACACCTGCCGCAGCAACCAATGTTTCTCGTTCACTCATGCAGAAATCAATCGTGCGATCCACGAACAACGCCAGTCTTTGGACGATGCCGGATAACAGCGCGTGAAAAAAAAAAATCGACACCATGTAATCGCAAAACTCGCGCTTGTAAAAAAGGAGGAGCGCGCGTTTGGTTTCTCGATACGCCTGCGGAGAGCAATATGTTAGAAACGCGTTCCGCAATTTACAAAATGATGAAGGAAGAGGCGCGCGATGAGAGACAGGTAGGGGAATCTATTCGAACTAATTGATGCCCGAACAAACGAATATGTCTCTATTTCTCTCCCTTTTATTGCATTCATTTTTCCTTTCCTTCTTCTATTGTTGCATCTGGATCTTGTATGCTATCATAATTTATATACTGTGCATTTTAATTTTTTGTAATGTCTTTAGAGAATGTCCTAGACTTTGACGATTTGATCTCTCTTTCTCTTTGATTTTCGCCGACAGATAACCGATTGGCCGCCACCCTTCTCTTCCGCGTCCACGCCGTACAACGAGAGCGATTTCGGCGGCCTAATCAGACGGACCTGCGAGAGCAAGAGTCTGACACTGCGGATCTCCAAGGTGATCGTCATCGGCGACGTTGCTGTCGGGAAAACGTCGTTGGTGAACCGGTAATGAATTCGGCGAATGGTCAGCGTGTCAGCGTTTATTAGACTTTGGAACATTAATTGTTCCTAATTTCCGGGGCCAGGGGGTCAATTATGTGTCTTACACTAAAGTGAAAATGCTAAAAAATCTGACACAGAATTGATGCCAGGATTGGCGACCTAAATATTTGGACAGTAAATCACCGGTCTTTTACGCAGTTTCTGCCACAAGCTCTTCGACAACAATTACAAGGCCACCATTGGCGTGGACTTCGAGGTGGAGAGATTCGACATCCTCGGCGTGCCCTTCCACTTGCAAATGTAATAAAGAGCGTCGTTTCGAAGACGCTAAACATCCACGGGAATAAATTGAACGTAATGTAGTAATTTGAGACGATGGGCTACTTGCAGATGGGACACCGCGGGCCAGGAAAGGTTCAAGTGCATAGCGGCGTCTTATTATCGCGGGGCTAATGGTGAAAATCTCTCTTCCTGCGCACAAGTTTCCTTTGCTTATCTTCTTTACTTTTTACATTGCATTTCGTTTTAGTAATCATGGTCGTTTTCGACCTGGGAAACCTGATGTCGCTGATGCATTGCCAGCAATGGCTGAACGAGGCGAGTCGCAGCAACGTCGGTGCCCATCATATCTTTCTGGTCGGCGCTAAGAAAGATCTATTGGTAAGTATTGGCAATATTGCCTTTTCGCTCTTGTCATTTACGTATAACATTCCCAAACAGCACAGGCAATCGTGAACTCAAAACAAATTCACCGTTTTAAATTCTTTATGCAATTTGTTGAATGAAAATGAACTCCGAACGAATTCATTCCCGGCGCGAATTCTTGTAGTGGTACGAAAGGGAATTTCTTCTGCAATCCGAAAACAAGCTCAACTCTCTGGTCACAATCTTAAGAGTCCGAAAACGAATTCTCTTTGAACTCCGAAGAATGTTTTTAGAACGGAAATGGGAGGAAAGGAAAATTAATTTCTTAATTCGGGAATTCAAAGAGAATTCTTTTGGAAATTTGCTACTGTCTGGGCTGCCGTCGTTTTTTTTTTATCAATCGCTCTTTCTTTCGGCAAACGCCAGTCGCGTCCGGTGTACGAGATCGTCGAGAAACGAGCGATCGAGGCGGCGAGACGGATGCGAGCGGAATATTGGGCGGTCTCGTCGAGAACGGGCAACGGCGTGTCCGAATTGTTCACGCGGGTCGCCGCGCTCTCCTTTCACGCGATGGCCCTGCGGGAGATGCAGAGCTTGAAACTCGAGCCGATCAACATCGGCTCGGCGACGATAAGTGAGTGGAAATCCGTGGAAATCTCTGGCCGCGCCAACGCGGCACGAAGGAGACGTAGCTCGGTGATGACAAAGTAAAGCTGACGGCAAAGAATGATCCGTAAACGCTCAGAACTCTGTTTCATGCCCGTTTCTACCAGTACAGATTAACTTTAAATTGCCTCTTTTTCTAAAAAAAAAACTATAAAGTAAGCTGAACCGAGATTAAAGTTGAACGTTGGTAGAAACATTAGTCGTAGACGTAAGGTAAGACAGAGAAAAACGTAAGTCGTGTACAATAGCTCTTCACGGTTTACGTCCACGACTAATTGTAAAAGCCCGAACACAGCGAAAAAACTTGAGCAGTAAAACTCAAGACTCATAAGGGACACGACCAATGACAATCGAGAACAGCCGTTTTGAAACCTAAGCAATGCTGACAATTCCGATTGCTCGAAATTCTCAAGTTTTTTCGAGTGTTTCCAACTTTAGACCGACGTAGCGTTTCTGCGGATCGTTCTCTGCCATCAGTCTAAGGCCAAGTTGCTGATCGGCGCTCTTTCTTCAGCGTTGAAGGGACAATCGAGGGAGGTCGAGATGAAGCGGCAGAGGGTACCGAAGTGTTCCAGATGCCCGACGTGACGGTGGAATCTGATAAATATTCAAACGCTGGATGATAAGATTGGAAATGAGTAAATAAAAGCGACCAGTTAAACGCGCTATAAACAAAATAGTTGGTTTGAATCTCGCGCGCCGACCGCGCGCTCCAGAGCGCCGCCGCTCGCGGCGCCACCGTCGCTTAACCCGCGCGCCCGTTATCAACCGTCCTGCGAACTTGCGCTCGGGGAAAGAGACGTAAAAAGAGACCAACGCCGATGCCGCCGACCATCGCCGATCGTGGCCGATCGCCGGGTGCAGCCGGGCCGCTCGTGCGCGACGCGACGCACGTACGCGTTCTCGCTGTCCTCGCCCCGAGGAAATCGGATCCTCGTCGAGTCCGTGCGCCTTCAGCGGAACGACGCAGCGTCCGTCACGTGACTATCGCTATTGGAGACCGGGCGATTGAGCTATCGGACGTTTACACGAATAACCGGTTAGCTGTACTAAGGTAAATTTCGAATAGCATTCCGACAGGTGACAAAGCCGCGGGGAGGGGGACGGAAAGCTGAATCGTATGGGCGGGGGGAGGCGCGGGCCGGAGGGGGCCGAGACCGCGGAGAGTCACGTGACTTGGACGTGATTTTAACGTGGCGCTCGTTAGCCAGTGCCAGTACTTAACAATCGCGACAAGCGCGGACGTAAGATTCTAGTAGCGGCACGCGCGTTTTATCTGGCATTTATTTTAGCGCGCGATTAAGATCGAATGGTGTCGTCTCAGGCCTGTTACTCTGTAGCCTCTTAACGACGGTGTCGCGTGTCGCGCACTTTTGTTATCGACCTATTATATCACGGGTGCGTTCGCGAGGCCGCTATTAACGGCTTGAAGCATTCTGTACTTGTTGCTCGTTGTATGCCAAAGATGGATAGCCGACACTTTTAATGCTGATAACGCGATCCGCGAACGCGTCCCGCGACGTTTTATATTAACAGCTCGTTATATCAACAATTTGTTATGCTCTAAAGGCCTGTATCCACGATGCTAGAACTTGGTCCAAGTTCTTGGATTGAAAAATTTGTAACCAATCAATTTGTAGCTTTTACGGAAAAGCGGCAATTTTATTGGCTATACGTTTCTCGGACCAAGGTCTTGGACCAAGTTCTAGCATCGGGGACATTGGGCTTAACGATAATATGCAGGGCTGGGGAAGTTACTTCGTAAAAGTATCTAGTTACAGTTTTTTCGAAAAAAAGTAACTGGTTACAGTTAAAAGTTACAAATTCTGAGAAGTAGCGCGCTAGTCTCAGTCTACAATAGGCGATTTAAACCCTAGATCCTAAGAAATTGACCAATCACAATAAAAAATGAGGAGAATACTCGACTGTGATTGGTCAGTTTCTCAGGGCTTGGGACTTGAATCATTCATTGTAGACTGGGACTTGGGAAACTGTTTTGCGTATCCTTGCGCCCATTTTTACTCTTGGAACTATTTTGCTACGCATCTTCCGACACTGCCGATAAAGTCTCCACTTTGTGCGTGTTCGTGCCACGCCTATTTTTCAGGATTGAGATGTGAATTTCAAAATTACATTTACATACATTATCTGCATGTTTACATCAATTTTGTTCATGCAGTCAGTGTGAATTTTATAAATTAGATGTTAGAATTCATAGCACGGACATGTACCAGTGGAAATTTTATCGGCGGAGTCAGAAAATGCGTAATGAAATAGTTTCAAAAGTAGAGATGGGCGTAAGAGCGCGAAAAACAGTCTCCTGAAACGGTATCGAGTAAAACGCCGACGTGGGCGCTCTCAGGTTTCTCTCTGCAGTCACTAAAAAAGTAACGCATTATTACTTTGCAGTTACCTTCTTGCAACGAAAGTAAAGACGTCAAATCTGCGTTTGAATTGTAAGGTGTCGATAATGGCGTTTATGCGCAAATGCAAGGCCTAATGCGATCTGTAGAGATTTAAAATATATTGTACATAAAGTAACTATTGAATTAGTTACTATTATATATATATATATGCTTTATTACCTTTAGCATACAGCCAGAAAGTGGCGCTTGGTTTACAAAAGTTTCTTAACCACTCATTCATCCATACTCTCATTCATACTCTCTCTAATCTCTACCCCTAATCTCGAATCTTTCCCTTCTTGTTTCCTACTTCTAATTTCTTATTTCTACAATGACTATCTCATCTTTTTTTGCCTTTCCTTTTCCTTCCATAATTTACATAATATCTTTCCTTTATCTTCATCTATTACATCGTTATATAATCTTTCCAACTTCTTTTCCATACTATTACCTAACTCTAAGAACCAGTCTTTCGTCGTTTTACAATCCTTTATACAGTGCTCTATATTATCTTTACCCTCTTTACAAAATATACATATTCTTTGTTCATTTTCTTCTTCCAACCAGTATTTGTTATCTTCCTCCGTGTTTCCACATCTTAATCTTATCAGCGCTCTAATTTCCTTACCTTTTCCCATCATATCTATATTTCTAAACTCTAAGTATCTCGGCCTCCCCTCCGCATTGCTTAAATCTCTGTATCTCTTATTATATTTCGCTTCCCTAATCCTACCTTCTTCCCATTGCTTTTGTGTCTCCTTCTCTATTTTTAAATCTTTTATCATATTCCTTTCCTCCTTCGGCATGCTAATTAGTTACTATTATAGTTATTGAAAAAAATTACCTGAGTTAAGTTACAGTTGCAGACGGAGAGAAAGTAACGAAGTTAAGTTAGAGTTGCACAAAAAGTAACTGTAACTGTAATTTCGTTAACGAGTTACTTCCAACCCTGATAATATGATATGTTATGATGCCGCGCTGTTCTGCGTAGATTGCACGAGTGATCAGCAGAGAAAAGTCCTCTATTATGAGATAGCGGAGTTTCCGTTAAATTGATAGGCGCAATCTATCGCTTCCACCATGAATTTATTGCCGTTGCAGTGAAATCTTCGTGGCAAGTTTATTGTTACATCGTGCGTATAATTGTCGCGAAAAGAGATTCGTAAAACGTGGACGTTGATAACCCGTCCATTTCTACCAATACGGATTAATTTTAATCTCGGTTTAATTTTTTATCTCTTTCTCTGGTTCTGAGTTGGAAAGAGGTGGAAAGTAAATTAAACGGGGATTAAAGTTAAATCACACTGGTAGAAGTGGACATTAGAAAAAGTCAACGAATGAGTTAAACCTGTAAAACCGAGCCTTAGGGCCGGATTCACAAACGTCGGTTAACTGTTAACCAGAGTTCAGTCAACTCCTTATCTTTTTCTATCTTATTATCTAAGAAGAGAGAGAATCAATCAATTAATCGGTTAACAGTTAACCGACGTTTGTGAAATTGGGCCCTTCGTGCAATCGCCAAAATATGCACATTGATTGGGTATCAACTGTCTGTTAACAACTTAAGACGATAACGTAGATTCAAGGGCACTGTGTAATCTCTTATCGGTATAGCCGGGTACGTTAACGGTGTACACCGCCTATGTCGAACAGTCTCCCTGGGAGCTCCTCGTCGGATCTACGCGGCTTGTTCCTCCGGTCAGATCGAACGTACGATTCAAACGTTTCTACGGGGTCTACAATGGGGGTCTTGGGGTCGCAGTCGTAAGGGCCTAACCAGACAAACTTGCATAGCGCATAAACGTATAAGGAATCTGATTGGGCCATAAATGCACGCATAAGGAAATAGACTAATCAATTTTTTAAATGCATATATACCTATACACCTATGCAAGTTTGGATAGACCCTTAAGCCTAATCTACAATGTGCTCTTTGCGTCTAGAAACAGTCTACTTTGTAGTCAGTAAATACGTTTAAAAAATTTGTGTAAGCTGATAAACTGTACATTGTACAGTCGTAAATTGTCGACTAATTTTTTGAGCGTTTTGATTCGCTTATATTAAATAGAATGTTTCTAGATGCAAAGAGCATATTGTAGATTAGGTTTAAGGGCCTATCCAGACAAACTTGCTTAGGTGCATTTGTTTTCCTTATGCATGCTCTTATGGCCCAATCAGATTCCTTGTGCACAAGTTTATGCGCTATGCAGGTTTGTCCGAATGGACCCTAAGGGCCATCGCACACAAAACTGCATAGTTGCATACGCATAGCACAAGACCGTCTAGACCAATAAACATGTTATGTAAATTAATATGGCGATTCAATGCTCGATGTTGGTTTACACGGTTTTCATGCTACGCACATGCAGCTATGCTGCCGTAAGACCGTCTAGACAAATGAGAATGTTATGTAATCAATTATGTAAATCAATATGGCGATTTAATGCTCGGTGCTCCTTGGTTTAGACGGTTTTTATGCTATGCACATGTAGCTATGCAATTTTGTGTGCGATGGCCCTAAGACTAATCGATTGTAATTGGTCGATTCAGCCAGACACATGAGAATTTGTCAATAATAGTCGACCATTCTTACGACTACAACTCTGAGACTCGCATTGTAGAGGAGGCTTTCGCGTTCAGGAGCTCGATTCTTGAATTAATTCGTAGAAGACGCCCGCTCTCACAGAAAAGTTGCCGAGTTGATTGGCTGTTCGCGTTGGCTTCTAATCAAACGGCTCTCAACTTTTCTGTCGGAGCAGAATTTTCGCGCATATATTTCTCTATCAAGTGAATTTAAGAATCGAGCCCCCAGAAGGAGAAAAGTTTTCGCGGCGCGTCAAACTGTTAATTCCCTCGACCGTACAGGCGCGCCGCACGTGTCTGCGCGCGCGAAAATAATAAACGGCTTTTCGAAACGACTACTCGAAACACAATGCGAAGATTACGCGCTTCGCGAAGTGCTTTCCGTTCGTTTCTCCGATTCTATTATTTCTGCGAATGACATAATGGCGAGCAGTGACTCGCGATTTCACACGCTCGCCTGCCGTCAGATAATGCACGAGAATTTTTCTGTGTCTATCTGATGGACAGGATTGGACCGAGATTTGTGACGCGCGTATGTTCCGTCGTATCATCCCTTCGTCCGTGTGCGTATGTGTAGCTGTGTGTGTGTGTGTGTGTGTGTGTGTGTGTGTTCGTGCGTATACTTGCGCATGCGTGAGTGAAACGCGGCAATTAATGCGGAGAAGTGGACAATACGAGTGGCACCTTGCATCAGTTTCCAGGAATCTTGTCCAAAGCCGCTTTCACCGTACGCGACGAATCGATGGATGACTGTGTGTGTGTCACGTGATGAGCTCTTTTTCAATTGTCATTTAGAGATTTTTTCGTGGGCGACACTCGGCCCCACGTGCAGGTGCGATTGGACCCGTAGACGAGATTCCGGTGCAGGTAACTAGCCCTTATGAGAGGTTGATTATACTATGTCTTGTTAGTTAAAATTGTGAAGATATCTTTAAAAGTTGCTTATAAATTCCCGAAGAAAACGGGGAAACAAGCAACAATTTATCGGGCGGAAGACTTGGTGTTAAAAAACTTAAAAGTCAACAGGTCGAATACGCAGTATTGGACAAGACACTAACGTCCATTT